CAAATCCAGTTTTTGTTTTTTTTTAAGATTTTATTTATTTATTCATGAGAGACACGTAAGAGGCAGACACACAGAGGGAGAAACAGGCTCCCTCTGGGGAGCCTGATGTGGGACTCGATCCCGGACCTGAGGATCACACTGAGCCAAATTGAGCCACCCAGGCATCCAAGCCACCCAGGGGTCCCCAAATCCAGTTTTCATGCCAATGAGCTCCCCATAGTAGTTCATGTTGCTAAATATCTTGTTAAAATTCCCTTAACCCCTATCCTTAGCTTCTTCAAACCCATACCATTTATCTTATCTCTTTAAGCCATTCTTTTTCAACTTCCCTCAAAGGCCCCTCTTCTTCCACTTGACCTTCAGGTGTAGATGCTTGGCAAGGTTGCCCTTAAGTCTTCTCCTCAATCCTAATTCTATACTCTTTGGCAGTTTCTGTGTGACATACTGCTAATGAATACAAAACTTTTAATTGATCCCCACTTCTCCTCCTACTCCAGCCCAAATCTATGAATAGGGAGCTATCTGACATATCTTGATTCCCACATCTAGACTCATGCTCTATTACCTTCTTTCTCAAATTCTGTTCTTCCAATACATTCCCTATCTTAATTAAAGGTATCATCATTCTTTAATGAACTATAATCTTTGAACTCCCCCATGTTCTTCCCAATCAGGTCACAATCTTATCATTTTCCACTGCTCCTCAAGTACAGCAAAATCTACTTCCTATTTCTCCGACTATCAATACCCTTCCTCTAATCTCTTCTCCATCAGGTGAAACAGCTACTCACTTTTCCAAGTCCTACTTAAAGATCTCCTACAGTCTTCGCTAAGCTCATTTATTCTCCCATCACTCACCCCTCCCTCTAGAATTCCACACAAATCGTTTTTACTTCTCAACAAGTTATTTTGTAGTTAGTTGAGCCCTTATCTTTCTCCCCTAGTAGACAAGGTCTGTGGTTAGTTGTTACTGTAGCACTAACACATGCCTGAATATAGTATGTCTTTAATCAGTGTCTGGTGAATGAATGGCAAAACTCCAAAGGGAGGACACAGTTATTTCTCAATGAAAAGTATGCCTTATTCCATTTAAACATAAAATGAGAATTAAGTTCCCTAGTCCTTCACTCCCCATTTCTAGTCCACTGCTTAGTTTTAAGCAATGTTTCATGGGGACATTTCCTCACTTCCTCTTGTTCTTTGTAGGTTTAGCTGCCAGCCTAACCACATTAGCATTCAGGAGGAGCAACAAAATAGACTCTCCAAATTCTAAAAAAGCGAAGATTTGACAATTACCAATCGTAAAATACAAGTTCCTTTTTAAAAAGTCTTAATGTTTATGCATACAAACTTCATTCTTCATGATTCTGAAAAAGGCTTGGTATAGTTTATCCAACAGACACCATTTAAGAGTTATTAAGGAAATGTCCATTTAAACTTTGTCAGACAAAATTTTCACATTTACAACCATAGAAATCAGCATGTACGAATTAATCTAAGTACTATGCCTGTACACTAAATAATCTATAAATAGTAGTCTGAATCACCAGATGACCCACACAGAAGTAGCTCTTTTAGCTTCTTTTAAAAATACATGCCCAAAGGGGACCTGGGTGGCTCAGTCTGTTAAAGCCTCTGACTCCTCGCTCAGGTCATGGTCTCGGTGGTGAGATCGAGCCCCATGTCAGGTTCTGCACACAGCACAGAGTCTGCTTGGGATTCTCTCTCCCCTCCCTCTGCCCCTCCCTGGATCACTCCTTCTCTCACAAATAAGTCAATCTTAAAAAAAAAAAAAGCATGCCCAAAATTCCAGTGAGCATCCCAAGCCATAAAACTGTATTCCTTTATCAGAATCACTCATTCCCCTTTTCTCCCTGACAACTTTCCCAAAACACACACACACACACACACACACACACACATCCCTCCTTTAACAGACCTGGTTTCATCAAGAAATTCTCTGATAGTGCAAGAACAGTTTGATAAGACAGGCTACAAGGTCTGGGATTCTAGAAGAGATCCCATATGGTACAATTATCTTCTAAGAGACTGCTTTTGATGACAGAATAGATTTGCCTCAAGGGTCACAAATGTGGTAGGCCTGCCTTATTCACCTCCTAGTTTTTGTCTTTCAAAAATATATTAAAAGCTCTCTTTAAAGTTGTATTTCTGACTTTTCTTCAGTTCATGTAATAAATGTTCCTATTTTAGGCACATAGACATGGTGACAATGCAAAAAACAACAACAAAAGAAGACCATATGATGAAATGTGTTTGAAGCTTTGATAACTAAACTGCATTGAGTGGGGTCAAAAACTTATTAGCCTAATTCTGAACTGCATTTCAGAAAAAATATATCTTCAAGGCATATATAATCCACTTATTTTTCTTGAGCAAAAATTCATTTTCCAAGTTTTGTCCACATTACATTAAAATAACTTTAGACAAAGCATTCTTGTTGCACCAAGATTAAAAGTTTCCAATAACTCAAAAAAAAAAAAAAAGTTTCCAATAACTCAATGTGGCTGTAATCTTCTGGAAGCACCTGAAATTGATTTGTTTCACCTTCTTTTACTATTTCTTCTCCAGCCCATTCACTTTAGGAGAATATTGATGGACAGAAGTTCTAACTGAAAAGCCCAGAAAGTGGATAATCCATCCCCTAGCTAATAAGAAAGGAACTATGGATACATAATGCACAAAAATTCACATGTATCCAGAGCCTTAAAAAAAAAAAAAAAAAAAAGCAATGATTGGACTTCGTCTAAATAAAATGTTTCTAAAATAAGTTTAACAATAGGTTTCTTTTTCATTGCTATTTTACTAGACATTTATGGAAAATTACATTTGGGTAAACTCAGGCTGAAAACACTAGCTTTAGCTCTCAAGGAAAACATAAAGAACAGAGAGAAAATTTTCTAATGCCCCCCCCCTTTTTTAAAGACTGGCATTTATTTTTAAGACTGATTTTCCAACTACTATATATATATATACACAAATATATGTATATATACATATATATATACACACACACTTTATATATATAGTATGTATATATACACACACACACACCCAAACACATATAATTATATAATTAATAAGCATCACACACAGTCACACACACACACATATTTAAATTCAAATATCACATTTCCTGGGCTAATTACAATCCCAGAGAGAGTGCACTGAAATTCCTGAGGTTAGAGCAGACACTTCTGAGACTCAACAACCCAGAGTTCCCGCTTTACACTCCAATTCTCCCATTTTTCACAGTGGCACGAAGTGGATGAACAAGACCACTGCAGCACAAAGCACTGGGATTGCCTAAAGAGATCTGACAGAAGCTGAACATATGCAAGAACTTCCTGTTCTCCATAGGACTGGAGGGAGGGTGTGCTTCTAAAGGCCCTTCCAAAAACCAAGTCAATGTCTTTTCAAATACTTATGAAAAAATTTTTAATTTGAAAAATTACTGTTCATCATTATTCCCCAACATTTACTGAATTCATTATTTATAAGAAGTATAAAAAATTTAATTCCAGACCCCAAGGAGCTTAAATTTCCCTTAAAACAGTCACCCATTTGTGATTATTTCACATAAAATACTTCTTGAAAACAACCCAGGGGTCTGCTTGAACTCACAGTATACAATGCAAATTCAGGTATTTAAATCACCAGGAGTTTGTCTTCAGCTCCCTAACAAAATTAGAGATGGATGTATACTTGTGATTTAATAAAAAGAAACCGACAATTTTGGGTTCCATTGGAATACACATGAATTGGGAGAGGAACCTGAAATCCTTTCTTCTTTAATTCCTTCTAGATCTGGATAAGTGCTCTCATTATCTCCTGCTTTTAGAGTTATTTCCTAAATCCAAGAGCTAAATTTCCTTAAAATCGCCTAAGAAATCTACTTCTATGAAAACTCTTGGCCTAAAGATGATGGGGGGGGGGGGTGCTGAGAATACGATCACTAACTACTAAGCAAAAAGTCATTTTCTCTCATACATTGAGTCTGAGATGGGGGGAGGGAAACAGCAGATAGGATGAAATCAAAGGACTTTTAAGTAAGGATGTGCCAAAAAATAGTAAGTAGTACTTCTTGTCTTATTTTTTGTCTTTGTCACGGACCTAGTCGAAAGTCACATCTAACTCCTGTCAGAAGAGAAAAAAAAAAGTCCTTTGACACAAACAGTTCTGCACACAATTTAGGAACCCAAGAATATATACATTACATGCGTTAATTGTATGTTTCCTCTCCTCATAGAATAAGGAAATTACACTCGTGCAGATTCTAGTCATATTTTCACTACCTTATGAGATAATACATCAAGAATATTCAAACACAAATCTGGATACTACTACTGAATTTTTAAAACAAAACAAAAACTCGGGGTCTCCAAGGCCCTCCTCTCCCCTTTCCTTGAGTGAGGAACAACCCAAGAACTTACTGTTCAATGCCAAAGTAAAGCATTCTTGTTTAAAAGGCTGGACATGAAATAAGAAAAGGATCACTGTGGGCACAGAGGATGCCCTGGGAAAAAAGGTGAGAGGCACGAACCCATTCTCCTGAACTCCGTCCAAGCTGACAGGTTCACTCACACTGCCTTCACCTTAACAGTTTTCCAAAAACACTGTCTCTACACACTTAAGAAAATGTGAATTTTGCTCTCACCACAAAAAGAATTAAGCATAACTGACACCAGCTGTAAGTAAGCAATTAATATATTCTAATCTAACGCTTAAGAATGGATGGAGATCAGGCAACAGCTCCTCCAACAGGCTGGAGCATATTATCATTTGAAGCCCTAAAAATATTAAGATTTTCAAACAACTCCAAGTTCTGATGTGCACAGTCAGATGCCCTGTAGAAACTTTGGGACCAGCAGCAATGACACAACAGGTGAGACAGGCGGTGGACATCACTGCACAGCGAGGTGGACAACATGCAGGGGCAAACCCTTGAGTTCCCCCGAAAGGCTGGGGCTATGAGATAATACCCAAGCACAAGGCCAGTCAGAGCCTTTACAGTAGCAGCAGTTCGTTTCCTTCCGAGGGTCGCGCCACTCCCCCTCTCTTCACCCAGGGGACAACCACCCCAGGCACAGGAAGAACCGAGGCCCCTCCACCGGCGGTATCCCAGCTGGGGAAGAAAACACAATGTCGCTCCTTATTTCTGCGTACAAAAGGACTTTGCGCCCTCCCTCGAACTGCCGCCGCTGCTGCCCGGGCCGCCTCCTAACTTGCAAGAAGGTGGGCAACGCGCCATATTCCAGCGTCCCCCGGTCTACCTGGGTAACAAGCCCACGCCACCCCGGCGGGAGGGAAGCTTCGGAGGCCGCCCGAAGAGCCTGCCTCCTCTCCCGCAGAAGGCAGCGGCTCCCGCGCCCCGGCCCAGCCCGCCGCGCCGCCCGCGGACCAGACCCGGGAAGGGCCGAGGGGGCGAGCCGGGAGCCGCGGCTCCGGTCCCGCGCAGCCCGCCCACCTCCCGCTCCCGGGCCCGGCGCGCTCTCCCGGGCCTCCCGCTCCCGAGCCCGCGGGAAGGCCGGGCCCGGGCCCCGGGTTCTACGGTGGAGAGTAGGCCGCGGCCCCCAGAGCCTCAGGCGGCGGGGGAGGCCGGAACCCTGGGGCTCTCGGGAGGGCAGCGCCTCCCTCCCGAGCCCGCCAGGACGCCTGGGGCCTACTGCGGCCTGCGCATCCTCGGGGTGGCGGTTTGACTGGGCCGGGCCGGGGCCCCCCGCCCGAGGCGGGCCGAATCCGGCAGAGGCCCAGGCCCGGAGCCGGGGGCGGCAGGGTGCAGGCTGCGGGGCGGGCCGGCCGGCCGGCGGGCGGGCGGCGTGTTGCGGCTGCGCCGGGGCTGAAATAGCTGGAGATTGCGCGGTAGGGCACTCACCTCAGAGCGGCTGCGCTACCGTGGGCCTGCGCCGTGGAGACTGCGACCGCGCCGGCTCCTCGCAGCCTCCTGCCACCAGCGGCAATGGCGAGCGCTGCCGCCTCTGCCGCCGCCGCCGCCGCCGAGGAGGGGGAGGGGAGGGAGAGGAGGCACGCACGCGACGCACGGGCTCAGCTTCCCCGCCCGGCGGCCGCCATGATGGGGAGGTCGGCGCTGCCTCGGCGGGGCGGGCGGGCCCGGAGGGGTTTCTGGGCGAGGGTCCCTGCCGGCCCGTGCGGTCTCCTGGAGGCCACGTTTAGTTTGAAAGGGCTGGATGGGACCGGAACCACGGAGGCAGCTGGATTAGTCAAGTGTGGACTCTCGGGAGAGTGGCGCGGGCAGCCCAAGATGGTTGCTAATCTGGAAATAGTAACATTTCTCGCCCCGCAGCCCCGAGAATTCTAGCACCTCCTGAATGAGCCTCGACAGTCGGGAACGGGCTTCCCCGCGTTTTCCTCAGCCTTGGCAGTCGCGTCTTCACCCTTTATTTGGAATGACCTTTGCTTCCCAAACCCTAAACAGGTATTTAAAAGCAAAAAAAATTTATATTGACTTCTAAAACTTATGAGCAATATATTAACTTATCTGCTCATTCATTCGTTTGGCAGACATTTCTAGAGGGCCCTTTTCTGTGCCAGTCTTGTTCTGGGCACGCTGGAGATGCACCTGTTAGAAAGATGAAGTCCTTGCTCCCAAGGAGTTTGTACGTGTGCAGGGAGTCAGAAGCAATAGGACCCCCTAGCAGGTGCCTGAGAACGAAGGAGGAGAAGGTAGCAGAAAATCTAATGTTAGAGGCATGTGACAGGTAGCTTTTGTTCTTGGTTTTTAAACGCGTGCTTAGGAAACTACACGCATCAGAATCACTAGGGCTGATTACTTAAATTCTGGACCCGAATTGGTGTCTCCACAATCACGGCTTGTTAGCCCAGAAAACTGAATTTTTAACAGCCCCCTACTCACACATCATCCTGGCAATTCTCATGAATGCCATAATTTTAAGAACCATTGCCTTAGGATGCATGGATAGTGCTACCAAATCATCTCTAATCAAGATACTGCAGAAGACTTCATGGTCTCCCTGCCACAGGAATTGCACTCTCCAATAGATTTTCCGCCCTGTAGCTTGAGCAGTCTTTCAGAAAAGAAAATCATGTCATTTCCCCCACTTACTGGGCTTAATAAGATCCCATTGCTCATAAGTTAAAGCCTAAAAATTCTTTGAGTTGGCTTCAGGGCCCTTGGTGACCTCACCCCTGCTGCCATCTTTGACCTCATCTGCTACAGACTTCTCCCTCAGGCTGTAGCCAAATCAGGAAGCTCTCAAGTCCTACGAGGCAGGAAGTTCTCCCACCTCATAATTTTTGCAAGGGCTGCTCTCTCCCTCTGCACAGAAGTTTCTTTACTCTTTAGTCCTTCTCGTTACCTGTTTAAACCTAAATACTTCCTGCTACTTCCTAAGGTCTCAAGATTAATGCCATTTCCTCCAAGAAGCATTTTCCTATCTCCCTACATGAGCGCTTTGGCTCTTCTGTCATCATACCCAGTAATTCTCACCTGTGCTTATTGTGTCAGGCCCTATTTTAAGTCCTTTACACACATTATCCCCTGTATCATTTAATTCTCAAGGAGAGTCGATGAGGCAGATACTACTGTTTTTATTATCTCATTCTGCAGAGAAACAAGGGCATAGAGAAATTACTTGCCCAAACCCAGACAATAAGAGATGGAGCCAGGTCTGAAATCCATCAGCTTGACCTCAGAGTTGTGCTCTTAACCATTACCAGCATTTTCACATTGCAGGTTGATACCCACTGATGAAGCACAAAATTAACTTAGTGGGTCATGACCATGATCATAAAAGAAATAGAAAATCCCAGAGAACATCAAACTTAGTAAGGCTCTTGTTTTGTGAAGCTTTTATTTCAGATACATAAATGTATATACATAGGTATGTGTATTTGTACTGGATTATGATATAAAACACATTTCTTACTGGATTACAGCTGCAAAAAAAGTTTGAAAGCCCTGCATTACTCTTTCTACACAGCACTTCTCAGACCATGGATCCTCAATAATCCAGAAGCTGCAGGAGGGCAGGGATTTCATCTTGTTCATGATTGTATACCAGCATCTCATGCAATGCCTGGCTCATAGTACACCTTCAATAAACATATAATAAGAGACCTCTGTGTCCACCCTCCTCAGACATGCAAGTAATTTTCTTAAGACAAATGACCTTGTGAACCCCAGTTGCTCTGTCCAAAAAGCTCTTCATTCTGGAAAACCAAAGATTGTAGAATCAGTCTCAAAAAAAAAAGGGGGGGGGGGCAGAAAAATCTACCCTAAGAGATTAAAAGAACTGGATTCCAATGAAGTGACAGTGATCAGCTTCAGCACAAAGAAGTCAGAAACTGTAGACAGGATAATGTAAGAAGACAACTCTATGAGGTAAGGTGTAGGTAGTAGCTGCATTAAGAAGGGATGACTTGGAGTGCCTGGCTGGCCTAGTCAGTGGAGCATGTGCTCTTGGTGTTAGGATTATGAGTTCAAGCCCTGCATAGAGCTTAGTGAAAGAAAAAAAAAAGAGAGAAATAAAGGGAAAAAAAAACAAAAACAAAGAAAGAACAAGATAAAGACTTAAGATGATTTAACCTTGAAGCCCAGAGCAAGGATAAAAAGAAACCTAGATCTTTGAGAATTTATTGGGAGTTCAGTAGCCTGGGCAATGCAGGAGATTCCCAAGTTGGCCTTGCTTTCAATAAGCTGCTGGTCATTTGATTGACTGATTACCCAGAAAAAAATTACACTGTGTGCTAAGAACCAAATGAGTGGTCCTACAGATAATAAATGCTCCAGATAATCAGATTTGTGGGAAATTTCACAGAGAGATGTAACTTGATTTGGCCTTGAAGAGTGGGCAAGATGCTTATGGGTATAGACCAGAAAGGTGAAGACACTTAATCGGGTGGATTGTTGGGAGGTGTCCAAGTATATTTAGTAAGTAAAGGAGTAAGGTAAGTCTCAGAGCAGCCCGAATTCAGGCCTGTCCAAGGTGGTTTGCTCACTAGTGGAATACTTGAGAGGAGCTGACCTGTAGGAGGTGTTTAGCTAGAGGGTAGTCTTCGCTTCTAGTGTTGACTGTGTCCCTTGGGGTGGGGTGGGGGGAAAGGCAGAGAATAAGAAGATGAGAAAGATGGCTGAAGCAGCTATTTTCACAAGGGACCCTCAGGACCCACTGCGTAAGAGTTCCAAGAGCAGTCAGCCTCCCCGTTTCTACTTTGGAATATGTGTAGCCCCTGCCCCATAAGGATTAACAGGAACCTGGAGCTATGTGAACAATACAAGGGGGTTTTGGCTCTTTGGGAACATCAAGGGCTGGCCCAGGCAGGGTCTACATTTCCAGAGAGCACTGGCCCCAGCAGCCACACCCCCATGCTTTAAGACACCACATCATAACATGGCTTCTGGAGTCAGACACTTGGTTCAAAGCCTGGCTATCCCACTTCCTACCTGTGAGACCTTGACAGTCACTCAACATTTTAATCCTCTATTTCTCTGCCCAAGATGTGGAGGTTAAGAGATAATATAAGGGCTCAGAACAGAGCCTGGACCCAGGAAGCACACAGTAAGTGCTAGGTATTATTAGCTCTTCCCAATTACCATTAATCATGCAAATTGCTTGGTACAAAATACAGGTATGATAGATGGTGGCTGTTGTGGTGATGATGATGATGCGTAAGTGTTTGTAAGCACCTGTAAATGTCCCTGAGGACTCCCCCAAAAGCTAGGGAGAGCATTCAAGGGATGCCTAGACAAGGGATTTGTGTAAGGGAGCAGTGTTATAAGGTTAGAAATGTCAAGGTGGAGTTTTTTTTATGACTGAGGGCGATTTGGAGAGAGCAGATGGAAAAGACTGTTTACTGTTACTTTATTTAAATTAATATGTCTGTATTTAGGTAACAATTTTTAAAATCTATTTTTCTTTGAGCTGATCTCATCTATTTCAAAATCTAGGAAATTTTAACAATCATCTTCAAAGGACCCTCCTCTCCCTAAACCCAAAGTCTGTTGATGACCCCCTATCATAGGTATTTCCTGCTTCAAACCTGAGTGTCTGTCCTGCCCGTGAGACTTTGAAACTGTGATCAGGAGCTCATGTCATATAGGCACTGCAAATTCAGTAAGTTAAAACCTGACCTCATTATACTTCCCTCAGAGCTGCTCCACCTACTGTGGTCCCTATCTCAATTAATAGTGTCTTTTGGCTCTAACATCTCAGAATCCTTTTTTGTGTGATTTCTCAGGTCAGTTCAACACGTATTTATTGGACACCACTCCATACGAAAAGCCGAAGTGCTCTCTAGAAACATGGGCCTTGTCCTTGAGAAAAGACTGATTAATGCTCCTGCAACCCAACTGGAGTACACTACTCTTCTTTAAATAACTGTTTCACTCACAGTGTTGTTAGATAAACCACTAAACATTTTAAACAGCATTTACATACGTAATATATTTACTTTGCCTTTTAAATGCTTTTTTTAAATGCCTGATTTAGGGGCATCTGGGTGGCTCAGTGGTTGAGCGTCCGCCTTTGGCTCAGGTCGTGATCCCAGGGGGGAGCCCACTTCCCCCTCTGCCTATGTCTCTGCCTCTCTTTCTGTGTCTTTCATGAATAAATAAATAAAATCTTAAAAAATAAGTAAATAAATGCTTCATCTAACAAACAGAACGTCCTCATGTAAATAATAATAATAACAATGATAACTAACTTACTGAGCATTCCCTAAAAGTCAGGTACTATTGCAAGCTCCTGTATGAATTCATTAATTCCCTCCCAGCAATGTTGTAAAATAGGTACTATAATTATACCTATTTTATAGATAAGAAAACTCAGACACAAGAAGTTACTTGCTCCTGGTCAGATATCTAGCAAACCTAATATATTTAAAATCTAATAAATTTTAAAATCAAATATATTAAACTTTAAATAAAGTGAATGTCAGACTTTTTTTTTAAAGTAGGCTCCATGGCCAACATGGGACTTGAACTCACAACCCTGAGATTGAG